TGCACTTGTGCCTAATGAAATTTCATCCCATCCATTGTGTTCCCTTAATGGCTGCCACCTGGATCGATGTCTTTAATAAGAACGAGAAGACTCTGACGCTTTCAATCTCCTTCGATGCTTATTTCATTTTTGCTTATTAAGGACTTGGTGCAATTTTAAATGTTCTTAAATTATCACACTGAATTTATAGATTCAATAATTCATTCTTCTTCTTCTTCTTTTTTTTTTCTTTTTCTTTAACTTTGCTCACAGGTAAGTATATTACGTGACCATACAGATATACATATCTGTATATATATATATCTGACTCTGATGTATAGAATATTTCAAGCTCTACCGAATTCGCATTCAGATAGCAAAGGAGATTCCTGTGAAGAACGACAGCCCTGTAGGAATTTCAATTCCGGAAACTCGGTCTTGCGCACCGACGAGTACCGGCGAATAATCGTAAATTAATCTGGCGATCCAATATCCGTGTAACGGAGGATTAAAAATCGCACGGGGGAAAAAATTTTGTCAGAAAATATTTACGCATAGAACAAAAACCAGTCGAGTTTTTAGCGTTTATTTATCCGAGTGCGAAGTTGGATGCACCAAGTATAACGCTTGAGAAAAAGCGAATAGAGTACCCGTTATCCTCTAATGACGATTAAAAGAACAATTCAAAAGACAACAAATTGTATAGAATAGTTATTAACTTATACAGGGTGTACGTGTTCGAAATGTTGCGAAGCATTTTTTTCCCATGCGTCGAATATCCCCAAATTGAGATGGATCGACGTTAGGGACGTTTTTGTGCCGGACGATGGGCAGAAAGCAGTTTTAATTAAAGCTGATTGTCAGGTGCCAATTAACCGTACGATCCCGTCGGTGCCCGAACGCATAATGTTCTGGACGTATCGCTTTTCCACGGTGCCATTGACGAATCCGGTTTGGAACGGGCCATTGGATACTGACACGCAGCGCCTGAATCGCTGCAACGTTTTAATCGGACAGGAAGTCTTCGTTTCGGACTGACAATTACGCGACGTACGACACTGACCACGTTACACGGAATCGACGGATCGTTTCGAACTTTGTTTCGTCTCTGAAAAATCGAATTGGGGAATTTCATCCGAATATTCTACCAGAGATGGGCAAAAATATAGGAGATGAACTTTTCTAAATTAGAATTACGAATGTACGAATAGAGAGTTCGCAGAATTATTTTCTACCAGAGGAACACTGCTTAGGAAGCCATCATTTTTCTTCTCCGTCGCTTCCTACTGTATGCATAAGCGTTCGTTCGTGTCTAGCGGAACTTTTGCAACACGGAGGCGTCGTTTGTCAACACGCGAGGCTAGGGCGTCGCGGCATTTGTCCCAGGGTGCGTTACACGTGACGATACAACCAGTTGGACAACAGCCCGATGAAAGTCAATGTCACGACGGACAAAAATACGAGCGTTTGGCTGCCAGCAAGACACCGTCTGAATTCTAAACCGTGACCGAGATTCTCGATCAGTCGCATATCGCGCATTCGGCCACGGTGGTCGATGTGCCGTGTGTTCCTGAATTCTCGGCTGCGTCGCATAGCGTTGCGACGTGCCTTTCGCAAATGCCCAATTTCGCGTACTGTCTATTGTGTTGTTGCCGGCCCCTTGATCGATACTTGTCGAGACGCGGCGACAGATTCGATTACGTCGACTATGTTCCCCTCTGTCAGGTGAAAACACTTTGTCCAGCGTTCTCCCTCTCTAACAAACGACGCTGACTAATTTCGTTACTTCGACGTTTTCGTCATTTCATCCATTTATTTGATAATAAACAAAACAAAATCGATGGTCACCTAATACAGTTTTGTTTACGTTCGATGATGACGCGAACGTTTCACCGTGGCGTTTTCCATTTCAAGCGTTTATTTCATTGTTTTTTTAAGTGAACACGTCGACAGGTAGTTACGAGATAACTCGTAATTTGCATTAATGCCTAGGACGGCTATTACGAGTTATCTCGTAATTTGTTTACTTGCCGTATATTGTAACTATAAATGTAACGGATAGCTTCAGGTGAGAAGAAGAAAATCAAGGTTGGCTAACATCGACAGAAAATTCATTAATAAACGATTATAAATGTTGGATGTTTTAATTCGGAAAATATCTTTTTTGAAGAACACATTCTACAATTCTACGCGTTCTCTATAATTATGCTTTTAATAATATAAATTAAGCTGGCGTTTTAGTCCGGATTCCTGAGAAGTATCGTGGCAGTCAACGTGTTGAGGAATTCTTAATTTTTCCTATTTTCTATTTCCGCTGTTAAATCATATTTTTGCACACTAGAGAGGTCGTTTTTTCCCCATCGCACACGAGCCGACTATTGCGTGACTGCTCGAGGTGAATGCCAACGTGTTCATCGTGCAATTAGTTATCCATGAGAGCAACTTATAATGTAACGTAAATCCTGCACGCGTGAAGAATTGCTTGAGTTTATACAGGGTGATACACTCGAGATAACCAATACTTGAGACACACAACGTCCTTTTATATCGCACATAATTTACTTTTTATCAAATTATGCGTTTCTTAACTTTATAATTACAAATGTTTCACGAACATATTCTTATTCCTTTTGTTTTCACATTTGTCTCTGTTTTATTATTATTATTATTATTATTATTATTATTAATATTAGACACAACGAAACGAACGTTTTAGGATATAGTTTATCAGGACTATAAATACGAGTAATATATTATTACCAGCAATTTATCGTTCCATTCATTATTTGAAATTACTACCTTGGCTTACGTTCATTTTATCCGCAGAGGGAAAAATAGGCCGCACGAAAGTTGAATGGCTTCAAGGAGAGCAAAAGTTGGATCAAACGAAACGTTCCTAGCTGGAGGCGTTTCGGAGATTTGAAAGTAGCCATTGTTTCTCTAAATGGGTGTATATATTCCTCCTAACGGGGCTAGGACATTGTTCTGAACGCCAATCACTGTAAATCTGTCCCCGAAGACAATATAAACGCCTGATAATCGTACCATTAGTCGCAATTAGACTGCAGATTTTTATGTACACACAGAATACTCTATAGAAAGGTAATACAAAAAAATATCGAAAGTAAAATTCGCAGAGTAAAATAAATTCCTATAAAGTATTACAAATGGTATTACGATAATATATGAAATGAATGTTTGGACTTTAAAGGGGTTCACGAATTTATTCATAGCACTCTCACGAAGTTACAATGAAAAATCGTCCACAAAACGAAACAACGAAATGGGTAGTTAGGGGCACGAATTAAATTCGATAAAAGCACGCGATTGCAGATACACGGCATTCAAATTGCACGACCAACCGTGCCCAGAAACCGGCCTGGATTAACTGGAACCTTCGTTTCCACCGACTGGCCAAACTTCTTCGATGAAATTATTTCGTAACCCGACTCAATTCGATTTCAGACATTCACAACGCGCCACTATCGTTCACTTGAACTTTCTACGGTGACCACGCCCGACGTCATTTCCGTTAAGCTTATCAGAACAACAAACATCGCACCATTACAATTATCAACACTAATTATATCAGGTGTAAACATTAATTCCGCGCCTTTATGTTCAATCATTTATGACTGTAGATTAAGTAAAAATATCGGGCTGTCTGGAAAGTCCATGTCGATTTTTAGTAGACGGTACAGCTCTGAATATATCGGAATGACTGTAAACAAATGACATGTATACACTCCTTAAAAGATGGAAAGGCTGTGGAACAAAATGGTACATATATCGTTCAATAGATACATGTATGTATATTATATGCCTTTGAAGTTTTCTTAAAAATAGCCATGAACATTCCGGACAACCCAATATTTACCCTCCATTTTGTAAGGTGCTCAGGTTAAACAGGCCACCTAGTACATTAAACCTTTAAACTGTTCACGAGGGGCCAGATTTAATTCGAATTTTGCTACCAAACGATTCCCCACTTGTATCTTTCGTTTACTCGGGTCTGCCCCCTAGATCAATTTCAATTCCTCCCACTGGTCAAGTCGAGTTGTCTCAATAACACCAATTGGATCCATTCAACGTCCGAAATCTTGATGGTATTGTTAGAGCCAGGCTTGTTCCATGCAGAAATATCGACGCTCGCCGAAATGGCGTTCTCTTCTTGGAAGAGCGCCGGTTCAATTACTCCGTTGGTAAATGGATATTCGTGTCTCCCCGACGCTGTCGAGTTACTGGCCCGACCAGCGTGTTTACAACGAAATTTCGGACCCCTGGATTCGCCTCTCTGACCCGCTTAGGGCGAAATCTATTACGGAACGCATCGACGCGCACAGAGGCGCATCCTCAAAATTGATTTACGTGCGGTGGGCTCACCGCGACAGCGAATTTAACGCCAGGCGTTTCGTTTCTCTTTCTCCGTTGAAAAATGGAGAACTGAAACCAATCTAATCTAAAATTAGAATCGAAACTAATCTAAACGAAATTATCCCTAAAAACGAACAACGAGAAACTTAGTATATGGCTTCCCAATGTGGTTTGTCGCGATCTTTGTTGGAATGCAACGATTGCCACTTTCGGGTCTTGAGGAAAAGGGTCTGTCTTTCCTTAAAGCAGAAAGAGGGATGGAGTTCTAGCAGGGACAGAAAGCGACGATCCTCGGTCCGAAATAAGTCAAGCGGTACGGGTCGTCGTGAATTTCGGACACCTTTCCTTTAACATTCTCATATATGTTGTAATCCTTTAGAAAATAAAGTTTACAAAAATACAATTCTAAGAATCTTTATAACGATGTTGGATCGTATTTGTTGCAAGTCCCAAGGGGGATGAACAAGGTACAAGTTTGATGGAACTAATCATCGAACGAATCGGTAGCCTCTGTTCAAGTTCCATTACGCGGTCGAATCGCGTGAAGCGGAGAACAAACAGCCTCTCCGCGGCAATTCGCCATCCTCGACCAATTGATCCTTTTGCGGAGTGCGTTTTCATAGAAACGGTGTCTGTTGGTTTTGCAGGTCGAGGCCGGTGACGTCATACTCAGGGTGGACGAAGTCGATGTCAACCGATTCAGTACTAAAGAAGGTAAGAGTAAGAAGACCGACCTGCTTCAACCGTGATATAATGCACCGTGCAAGTGCGCTCGTTTCTCTCTTTTGCCACCCCTTGCATCTGTTAGAGGTATCGCCTTTTTGTTCTCGATATGTTCCGTTCAAAGAGATTATGTAGAAGAAGATGCAATGTTAGATTCCATCTTAAAAAAAGGTTCTCTATAATCTCTTTGTATTCGTTATTATTTATTACGAATAGCATCTCTTATTCTTAGTTGTCCATGTAGATCTAGGGAATCTAGTGAAAAATTGTCACGACGCGACGCTCGTTTCCTTCCTCGTTGCTCGTTTGTCCTGTTGGCGTAATTCTCAATTTTTCGTATAACCCACATGGAAATTTAGTAAAATTTGGCGAGATACAGAATGGCCATCGAAATTGAACTGGATAACACAAAAGAGAATCGAATACGTAAGAAATTTGAATTGCTTCTTCTGACGAGTCGCAACTTCTTCTCTTTGCATCTAATCTTCATATTCAATTCTCCAACCTCTCGATCCTTCTTCGTGTGTCCATTCGATCTGCAGTTAGGTGAACTTTCATTGTACACTAGGGTAATAATAATCATTTGATTCTGCTCTGTAGAAACTTTGCTCAAGTTCCTGTGAAAAAAAAAAATCTCTGTTCGATAGATTTAAGTGGGAATCGAGGTGAGAACGATAGCGAATAACGGGAACTGAAGGAAGCGAGGAAAAAAGTCTTGCGTTTGCGTTTTTATTTAAAGTGTGAAAGGAAAATTTACGTCCTTATTACACTGTGATGCACTATTTCTAACATTTCTTACAACTTATATGATTTTCTTGTTCTCGTCCATCCATTCCTTTATCATTCTTTACATTTTATTTTAAACTTTCGTCCTTCCGTACTTGGTCTCTATTTTATTTCTTCATTAAATTATTTACATTTAAAAAAAAAACAATATCTTTCCTTTTGTTTAATATGCATCATTCGTTCTTATTTGTTCACACTCATTCTCATTCTCAGGATTGGAACGTTAGGTTTTTTGTTATACTTAATTCTAATATTATACATACTCAGTTAATATCATTTGCAAGCCGAGCCTGCCTTTATTAAAACTCGGTTAGACTATTCATATATTCTTTGTATTTTGTAACATTTGTGTAAACCTATTCAAAAACGAAACATCATATAAATTATTATATATCTCTTCATAACGTACTTTTTCTTTTAGAGATCGTATTGCACTATTATAACATATGATTTTTTCTTTTTCTTTATCGTACATTTACTTCGGATATATCTCGTTCTTCGTACTTTGCTCACATTTTATTTACGTTTAACGGAAAAAAGTCTCCGTTCAGGAGTTCGTCGCAGCTTGTTTCGTCTGCTCGAAGTAACGGTTCCCCAATGAAAGGGAGAGCAAGGATTGTTTTCCCCGAGCGATACGGAGAACTCGAGTTTTCTAAACGAATTTTCTTCGTTACGATGACGCACACGAAATATGTTGTATTCGCTCGGGAACCCCCTGGGCTCATTAGCACTCGGAACCACGAATTTTCTGACGCGCAAAATGGAACGCTTGATTGGCCGCGTTACCGCGGCCGTGGCGGATCAAATGAAACGACCCTTGGTTAATTTTATATCGACAATGCAATTACTCCTTTCGCGGATCCGCTTTGAGCTCGATTTACGACGAAATGAAATGAAGCGCCACACGAGACCGAGTTCAACGTACTCTCCCAGACGTAAATATTCTGACACCTAGTAATATTTTCAATAATCGTCCGCTGATGATCGTATTGCACTTTTGTACCGTGTACTTTCTGGAATATTTTGAGAAAATTCTATTTTCTGTTATTCTATTTTGTATATTACAGTATCTATAATCTTGTTATTACGCAAACGTATAAAGATATAAAATATGAAAAATAAGATACACGTTGGAACATTTGGAAGACGAAATATAGTTAAATGTACAGTTTCTGTTCTTCATCTGTACGTATTCTATGTATGAAAATACTATACAACTGCTTATCGTGCATTCTATATATTCGTACACCGAGTTCCGTTGATAACTGTGAAATGACATAGAGAACGACTGGCACAAAATCCACCTCCGTGTATAGGAAGAGAGGTCGGGAAGAGAAATATTTCATTTTAGGGAAGTTCATTGTGAAGCTACGGGATCTGCGTTTCCGTCCGTAAACGATTAACCTTTCGCTAAAATTGCGGACCAAACGTGGCTCTTTTTCCCCCTCGGAGAGTCCAAAGGTAATCCAAATCTGCCTCCTTAATCCTCGATGGTAACATCCAGCCTGACCTATCTCAACTGCGACAGTACGTTTCTGAATTACGTGGTTGCGACCAAGCGACATCTCGGTTCGCGGTAATTCCCATTCCAGTCGGTTTTCTACCCACTTCCGCCAGTAGCTGGTCGGTGCTTAGTTCTCTTTTCTCGGCGGTGCACACTTTCTCCCTCTTTTACCCTCTATTCCGTCGCTCTTACTTTTCGTCTCCTCTATTCTCACCGCTTCGTTTTGTGTTTCAGTGCTGAAATGTCTGCGGCTCTCGTCGGACCCTGTCACCCTGAAGCTACGAAGGGGTAAGTGAAGTGCGCTGGCAAATTCTCTTATTCGCCTAAAGAGACTGAGACTGTTCGCGGGGGGGGGGGGCGCCGGGTCATCGTCGACGCCTACGGGGTCGTTCAAATATGGCGTCGCGCGAGATTTATATTCTGTTTTGCCCAAAGAGATTACGTAGTAGACACAATAGAGTAGACAAGCCAGTTGAGAAAGTATAAAGTAAGAGAAGAAGGATCGAGTGCACTATCGCCCTTCTCTAACAACGCATGCGCGGTTAAGAAACTTTGGGAGAGAAGCGTTGCTTCGATAACCTTTGGTCAGCGTCAGATGACTCCCTTGATTCCATTCGCTTCTCCCACAAAGTCGTAACATTCTGGTGCACGCGCAAACTTAGACAGAAACAGAGATACTCTCTCCATTTATAGAGACTTACTTAGAGTGGTCAGGTTTGTTTGAAAATTCGAAATGACCGATCCAATATGGCGGGACAGAAAATAAAAATGTTCAAACAAGATTTTGGACAATTTGTCACCGAATGTTCGTCGAATAAATAGCAAGTTTCGATGTTGAGCTCGTTCGCTATCGTTAGATAAAAGTGCTAATTATAATTAGACCACAAGTGTTAGTTAGCTCCCTTTGTTCCAGATACAGTGAACATTTCTCTTTTCATTTATCGCATTTAAGAAACGAATCGAGCAAGAACACCATCGATAGAAATTACGAATTAATTCTCTTCTGCATAATATTTCCTCCGGATGATAGATTTTTTCTTTCGTTTGCTAATTAATTTTTTCGCTCGCGACACGCTTGGTCCCATCGCTATCGTGCTCCGATCGAAGCACCGTGATCGGTGAAAGTACGGAGAGGAAAATCGAAAGAAGTATGGGGACACGAACGAATGGTGTACCTTGCGTTCTCAACGGTGCTTGCATTCCATCGATAACCGTCGTGCAATCAATGTCGCGTGGGCGGTGAATTTCTTGGGCGGTTTTTTTCGAAAGCTGGGAACGCCTCGAGTCAGAAATTCTTTCGTCGCTGTACGTGGGAGAATCATGTACCTATAATACGTAATAATAAGAAAAAACGTAACTACCAAACATCCGTAGCACAGAATCATTTTCCACGCCTACTACCACCATTATAATTCCGTAAAAACCCGTGTCTCCGGGCGTTTATTTTGGAGGGGTCACCCGGCGAATAATTGTATTCACGTTATCGCGCAACGATATTTCGGTACTGGATTTTGCTGGAATGATTCGATTCGTTCGCGTCGAATTACACTTCCACGCAAGTTGAGCCATTCACTGTAAATACTCGGGACTTGCAGTATCAGCGGACACCTGGCCGTGTTGCGTGAGTAGAATCATTGTGTAAACTCGCCGCGGGGCCAGATACAAACGGGCGTTTACAGAACCGTCGTGTGTCTGGCCGATTTACACCGGATTATCGTTATCACTGCACGAGCACCTTGAATTCATTCGACGGCCCTCTCCCCCACGCCGGGAGAGGCCTGGTGTCTCTCTCCCGTCTAATGAAGTTCGAAACGTTGAACAACCTGCTGACCCCGTTAAATAATTACTCCATCAGTTTAACGAACGAGGGGGACAAACTTGCGACACGACTCGACGACGTGAATCTCGATGAACGGTGAAATCTACTCGGGGGGACTGTATACGAATTCGTCTTTTGGCGCGGTCGATTCCTAGTTTCGCGAATTATACATGAGAATCTCGACGAGAGACCCTCGGAAATTTTATTTTATTATTTGTCCAAGTGTAACTTCTTATTTTTTATACGATGGTATATATTTGATGAAGTGGAGGAAAGAAGGATATTTCTGAAAAACTATTTCTTAATGTAATTCTTGAAATTTCGATCAAAGTACAGATTTACTTTTTCGTATAAAGGAATGTATCTTTTGTTTATGTACGTGTTTGTTTTTTTAAATATAAAAAAAAAAAAAGAAAAAAAAACAGTCTTTCATAAGATAACACAATTTTCCTAATATCCTTTTTTCCCCTCATTTAAAAATCGCTAGTTCCATCGTTAAGTCTCCTGCAGAAGTAAGGAAGAAAGGACGTTTCCTTAATAAATGGAAATCGCGGCACGGCAACAGTAGGAAGGAAAACGGAGTGTCGTTTGGAAAATTGGTGCTTAATGCGCATAATATGGAGAACGTGTAGTTAACATATTATCGATTGTCGGTACCGCTAATCGGCTTTTCTCCGGGTAGCGGCGTTCAGTGACCGAACGTCGACTAATTGGCTTTTCTCAGTTGTGTGCGAACGGGATTCGCGGTGTCGGGGAAAGCGACGTATCGATTTAAAACGTGCATCGAATTGCGACCGAGAGTTGCCGGGTGATTTAGTATGCACAAAGTGAAAAACGGGCAAATACAAACGATTTCGCTTTACCGACCGTTTATTTATGTAGAGACGACCGTGAGCCTCGTTAGAAATAAATTGCTGTTTCCTGTTCGCGAAAAACCGATCCAACGAAACGGTCATTCGATGCATCAACTTCGTCTTCGGTCCCCTCGAATATTTAATAACGATTATTCTCGGAACGTAAAAGGTATGCAAACGACAAAGTTACGTTTGAGGGTACTCTTGTATATTAATTTGCATACGGAATGCGCGTTACATAATATGAAGGACGTTGGAGATGCGTTGTCTTCACTCATTTCTAATGTACGTTGTTGTAACAACTGGGAATTACTTGGGTGCGAGAAATTCCGATTATTCCGAGGATAAATTCCAAAAAATAAAAATACCTTTTCTTTGCGGAACGTGTAAAACGTTATTCTACGTTAAACTTATCGCTATCGTTGTATTCTGTCTAATAAATTACTTTCCAATGTTGCCCGTCGAGCCGACCACTTAGCATAAAATACAAAGACGAAAGTTTGCGCGTTGAAGTGAATCGTCGTCCCGTACAAGTCTATACCGTGAAAGGTAAACTAATTGCAGCCCGCGGTGTTGATTAATGACTTCGCGCCGGCGAGGTAATTTAATGACACAATGGCTGATTCGCTTTGGCCTTTTTTACCTGCAGCTGCAGGCCACTGTGGTCGACGAGTTTCTCGAGGACCCTAATCACAGGAGATAAGGTCGCGATGGTTTAATCGTCCTAGGAAAATTGACCGATAGACCCAAAACAGGCAGTGGTTGCAACTGTGAAAATTAACGAGGAAAGTTCGTCCGTTTAAAAGTTAAATAGAAAAATGCGAAGTTCGCGGAAATATAGATAACGTAATGGTAATAAATTAAATTTCCTTTTTTTTTTTTTTTCAAATGACGACCAAGGGTTGAAAATAACTCTTTCAAAGAAATTGTGAAGTTTTAATACTTGCGCAGTTTTATTGAAATCTGCACCTGACAGGTTTACGATGATATCCCCGCGAGTTTGCCGATGACGTAAATTGATAACTCTTAACGGACAGGCAGTAAAAGGACTGTGCGATCGGCGATAAACGTAAAACAATTAATCGACGATTAATTCTGTCAAATATTGACAGGAGTCTCGGTACAGATACGGATACTGTTACATTCGATACTGCTGTAATATCAATATTTCTTTTTACATCGCAGCGAAGGAATTTAATTACTTAACAGGTGACTAATATTTGGTAACAAACATTCGTTGAATTCAATAACACGTATAATTTCTATTATTAATTCTGATGCGCATATTCTGGACCAGATTTTAATATCAATAATGTTTCATCGAATGGAAATCCGATATTAAGCCACCCGGGCTAGTGATATAGATAGTTTGAATTTTATTAATAACAGTGGATAGTAATTTCGGTAGCTGCAGGGAATATTAAGAGCAATATTAAGAGAATTAACACTAAATTATAGATGGTGTCTATTACTTGTAAAAGTTTTATCGTTTTCTGTCCTTATTTCACCCTAGGGTATCAAAATACATAGGCACGGGCCTGACGCACGAATCAATTTCCATTTAATCATTTTACCGCGCTCGATAATCAGTATCGAGATAATTGATCTTCCGCGATGCCTATTACTTTCATTCTAATATAATGCTCGCATTCGGAGTGCTAACGACTTCCTCTTACCAATTACGCAAATTACATAGCAAAACCGTAAATTACAATAAATTCTACATTATGATCCAATCGTCGTACATCATCGAAGGGGGAAGAGACGAGAACATTTTTCAGCTTATTATTCATTTACGGCATCAACCATTTTCTTATTCTAAAAATTCAAAAAGTTCCATTGTCCCCTTACGAATTAATTACCGACAAATTCTCCTTAAATATTAACGCAGTAAATACAATTGCAGTATTCGCACGTTCGCGAAGTCGGAAATAAAGGTCTGAAATAAAAATCTAAATATGCGTTCGAATAAATATTCTATATTTGTCGCCGCGCGTTGGTCAAATTCAACGTCCAGCTTTCCAATAACATTTTGCTCGTCTCTGTCGAACGTGCCATCAAAACACGCTAGTCGAAACGTAAACATGCGACGGCTCGTTCGAGGCTGCACATTTTCCAAGATTGAATCAAGCCCGTTACGTCGTTGCATCGTCGCATATTCCTGTAGACCGTGAGCAATCAATGACTCACTCTGATAGAAAATTGTTTGTTATCTGAACGTTTGATCGTTGGCTCGTGCGCTTAATTGCACGCCCTCGACACTCTCCCTTTTTTTCCAAGCACGCGTGAACAACGACGGTGGCAAACCGTCGCTTTAACCCTCCCCCCGACGACGTCGCAAACCAAGGTAAGAAGAGCGTCACTTCGAGCATAACGACGCTGACGGTTTTCTATGGGTTATTATCGCGCAATTCTATTATTACTATCAGGTTCAAGAGCGACTATACGCGTCCGGCGTATTCTATCATTAGATCTTACTCGCGTGAGAGTTCAGTCACCAGTTGAACAGCGTCGTTTGTATCGCTAGCGTTAGAATCAATTCTCGACTTACAGTCTGATACTTGAAAAAATGTTTCCGATTTAAATTTTATTTGGAGACAATTGGAGACTGTGTTTGTAACCTCGTCGTGTTTTTAACGAATCGAAGGAAAACGATTGTCTATTATTTATGGGAGCATTACACGTCCTAGACACAACTGTCGAGCACGCACATCGAAAACGGTCTAAAACAGAATGGGTCGTTTTAAGGGAGAACGGTCGTAGGTGCATTCTCGTTGCAAGATCGTAAAAGTCGCAGCATCATTGGTCGGTGGCACGACGTAAACGTCGGCCATTGGTCGTCGTGTCGGTCAACAAATGTCTCGCACAGGGCTGATCACAGAGTTACTAGCACCCTGGTTCAACTCATCTACCAAGTGAACATAAATTTATAGATAATATTGGTCGTTGTTGTGATCAATCAGGATACAGTTTTATAATTTTCGAGATTAGGTTACATTCAATTGACATCATTCGATTCATAGGAAATTATTATTGTAGGCCATGACTCGTTGCGTTATTTGTTTAACGTTCAAGTAAAATTCATGAAAATCGCGCAAAAGGATTTATATGAACTGCTTCGTGAAAGCGCCCCGTCGTGTCCACGCGTAGAGCCGTCCCTGGCCACGCGACGGTTCGTGCATTATTGGTCGGGCTTCTTCGTCGTTTTCCGCCGGCCGTAAATCGTATTCGGTGACCAAGAGCCGTTCTCATGGGAATCGAACCTGCTTTCCTCGTCCTCGCGTCTTCCTGGCCGCTTGTGTTTCCCGTTGGAAGTCAACCCCCCAGGGTTCCGCGATGCGGAAAGTTTTCTTTGGGCGGCTTTGGCTCGCTGCGCGCGCTTTGAAGTCCTCCACGCGCCGGCAATAAATTTTCCTCGCCACGAAGAACGAAACAGCCGCAGCGGCGGCTTTTTAATCAGACCTCGCGTATAGCCGAAAGACCTGTCCCAGTTACTCCTTTCTGCTCGCTGAAAATACACTCGCTCTGCCAGCGAGTTCTCTCGCTCTCTCGTTGGCCATGGCAGGTTTTGCGCCCACCTCGCGGAGAGATGCAACGAGATTGGCACACGGGAACGAGAGACGGCGCCTTCCGCGCCGGAAGACTTTTGTCTTAAAAATACAAACGTTTCTCGACGCTGTCTCTCTACCCGCATTAACGAAAGGAGGCATTCGTGAATAGGGTCGCGCGACTTTCCCAGATACGAGACGGTTCAAGAGAAATAGTCGATGAAATTTGAAGGATCGTTCCAACTATTTCGCAGAGATCGATTTTTCTTTATATCGAGATCGAATCTTTATAAAAATTACTTGTCTGTTTCACGAATCGTTATATTAATAATGTCGAGTCAATTTATCGCGACGTTCTATATCGACGATTTAAAGAAATTCTCTTTACCGATTCCAGATAAGATAACGTGGTTATTTCCCCAGATCCAGCAATAAAAGCGCACGTGCGTCGTTTGTTAACGCCTGGGCAGCCGGTGTGCGACGAAACGGACTCGTCGAAGATCTCGCACGAGGTGACGACCCTCGCTAGTAATCCCAGGGCCGTGACGTCAGGGAACGGGGAGAAAACGGAATCTAGAAAGCCTGGAACCCCAGAATTGCCAGGTGGCTCGCCCCAGGAACCGACCGGAGCGACGCAATATGCGACCAGAAGCAACGGTTCCTACAGCGATGCTTCCGGTTCCTCCGAGCTGGAGGCGCTTCTTCCACCCGTCGTCGACAGCTTCAAGGAGGAAGAACGAGCCCAATGGGAGCCTCTGTCTGGCGATAAGTTCACCAGACAGAAGAACACGCCTAGGTATGTGCGAACGAACTTTTGGATTTGATATTTACTAAAAATCTTGATGGGAAAAGATCTAAAGTAAACACTGGTTTTAGGTTCGAAGCGTATATGATGACTGGCGACCTGATGTTGAACCTGTCGCGTACCCAGCAGAGCAGCGGCCTGTTACCGAAACATCAGAAGAAGGTCGACTCGCTTAGGTACAACAATCATCACACCCACCATCACCATAATCACCACAATCACCACCATCATAACTCGGTACCCACCAGTCCTAACGAGATGCTGGGCCATCACCGTGCTTACAAGTGCACCGGTTCGAATTCGGCCAGCACCTCACCGGTGGGGATCAGCAAACGCGAGAACAGCCAATGCCCCGGTCAGAGCGACTCTAACAAACCGAACGCCGCGAGTTTCGGTTACTCGAGCGGTTTCGTGCGCACCTCGCGCTCCGAGGATCATTTGCAATTCCAAAAGGACCCGTCGATGAGCGCGGTGGACATTGACATTGACGACGACGTCACGTCCAGCTTGAACACCCTGTTGGACACGCGGCCGGACAGCGGCCAGGGTCTGTCCAGCGAGCGGATCGTCTGGACGTACAACGCCCCTGTTAGCTCGCCGTCCGCCTCGGAGCGCACCTCGTGCTGCCAAAATGGCAGCTCGTCGCAATCCTCGTCGAGTAGCTCCTCGACGGAGGGCACTAGTCCCCAGAGATCCTTATCGCCTGCCTCCCCTACCTCGGTCTCGTCCTCCGTCATGTCCTCCAATTCTGGATCCCGTAGGTTCCCACCGCCGGTCCCCACGGGCGCCACCGCGACCGCCCTGGGCCCATCCGGCGACGGGACCGCCTCCTCGGCCTCCGGGCTTCATCCCACCAACGGTGACCTCAGTCAGTCAGAGGCAATCAGCAACATGTCCAGTCCCGACTACAACGACGAGGAGACTATGGACATACTCAGTGCCCGCGATATCATGATGGTCAGTGATCCAAGTGACAGTGACTCGACGATACTGGCCAGCGAGCCGCCCCAGAGGAGGCTCAAGAACGCCTCGCAGTCGTCCAACGCGTACGCGACCGCGCAGGACGCTACCGAGCACAGGATAGTGATACAGGTGAAAGGACCGGACAAGGACGCGACGTCCGCGAGGAACACCAGCCCCAGGCAGAACAGACGACGCGGGAACCCCAGCAACGTCGACTTGGTGCCCACCTCCACTGCTCAAGGCACCGCGCAACGGACCTCCGTCACCGCTGCTGGAAGCGTTACCCCTGAATTCGTTGGATATCAGGTAGCCCCACGGAATCAATTGTTGAGATTTTTATTTGATTACATCGAGTACTGCAAGCTTTGACATAATTTGGCATGGTTGAGGGCCTGAGCGAACTACCCTGCTCCGAACAAAATCAATTGGGGACGCTCAAGGCCACTCAGGATCTCCCCTTACTATGTCGTTTACCTACTCCCCACCATTCCAGTTAAGCTACTCCTACGCTATCTGTCGCCCCTTTGCTCAACCCTCCGCAGAGTCTCTGTCTCCTAAACAAAGACGCAGGCCTGCATCGTGTAAAATTAGAAATCCCCATGCAACGTTGCTCACAGTAAGGGGATGCGGGCTTGAGCACCCAGTTGAGTTTTGATTCACCTAAATCACGCTAGATTTGTACAGTTAATTGAAAGATCAAGGACAGTTTCTTATTCTTTAATATATATCCCAGGAGTTGAAGGAGAGCGAGGACGAGAAGGAGGCATTGAATATCTGCAACTACGACGAGAGGCACAGCGGCGCGTCGCCTCCTCAATCTGCCGACGAAGAGAGCGACATCGAGAGCTTGCACAGCTTCCATTACAGTCCAAAAGCAGTGGACTTGCCGTCAGCGGTTCGATTGGCCAAGAGGCTGTACTCGTTAGACGGGTTCAAGAAGTCTGATGTCTCCAGACACCTTAGCAAAAAGTATGCGATATTCTTAATTAATAAAACATCATCGTCCTTGAAATTGTTACGTTTCTATATTGTTGATTGCACGTTTTGGATTCTAGCAACGACTTTAGTAGAGCGGTAGCCGAAGAATACCTGAGATACTTCAACTTCGAACGGGACACGCTGGACGTGGCTCTCAGAAAGTTCCTTGCCCAGTTCTCTCTGACAGGCGAGACCCAAGAGAGAGAAAGGGTTCTTGTACATTTCTCCAAGAGATTTCTCGACTGCAACCCGGGCGCATTCAATTCGCAGGGTAAGCCTTCTCGTTATCACAAGTACCTAACAGCCATACCTGCAGCTATATAAGCGTCAACAATCATTCGTGAATGAAATTGACATTTCAGACGCTGTTCACACCTTAACTTGTGCTATAATGCTGCTCAACACGGATCTACACGGTCAAAATATCGGCAGGAAAATGTCGTGTAATGAATTTATCGAAAACCTCTCGGAATTGAACGACGGTGACAATTTTCCTAGGGAGGTCCTCAAGCAGCTTTACAATGCTATCAAATCGTTCCCCTTGGAATGGGCCTTGTAAGTTATATTCAAGCATTCATTTACAAATAATTCATTAAAAACGAGTGAGTTTTATTGTATACTTATATACATTTATTTATGTCAAGTGTTTATTAACCACTCATATTGCTTGTTTAGAGACGAAGAAGGGGATGAAACAGCGAACCAAGCAATTCAGCAAGGTGATGTTCCAGCGATATCTGGAACTGGCAATCCATTTCTCGACGTGCCAAATGTTACGGGTGCTACGGAGTTCAAGAAGGGTTACGTTATGCGGAAATGTTGCTACGACTCCAACGGAAAGAAAAGTAATTCGTTCTTGCCACACAATAAGATCTCATAAATAGAAAAGGCAAAGGCCTTCTTAAACACGGTGACATCTTTTTTCAGCACCGTTTGGGAAACGAGGCTGGAAGATGTATTATTGTACGCTGCGAGAACTTGTATTATATTTGCACAAAGACGAGCATGGCTTCCGTAACGATAGTTTGCACAACGCGATACGCATTCATCATGCGTTGGCGACGAAGGCGTCGGACTACACGAAAAAACAACACGTATTCAGGTTACAGACTGCCGATCAGGCGGAGTATCTCTTCCAAACGAGGTGAGTGCTGCTTCAAAAGTCTTGATAAGTGAATCACTAGACTAGGTAATTCGATCCGTATGGTGTACACTGTTACCCAAAAGTTAGGACACCCTTTGACCTTAGCATCTGTGAGAGAAGGTAAATTAATTTTAAAGGTGGAAGGGTGGTTTCGAACTTTTGAGCCTTAGTATGTATGAGTTGAAAGCTGACACAATTTTCAGTGATTCCAAAGAACTACAATCATGGATCGACACGATCAATTTCGTGTGCGCGAGTTTTTCCTGCCAACCGTTAGCAGGCGCTGTGGGCTCACAACGAAAATTTCAGCGACCACTGCTCCCCTGCAGCCACACGAAATTATCTCCTGTGAGTAGCATCACCAGATAGAACACGGTAAAAAGTAGTGGCGCATTATACCTTCATCAATTAAGCTTCCAAATTTAAATAGATGCCTTTTCTGCAAATAGGATAATGCGCCACTGTTGTTTAGAAACGATTTTGACCGCGGGCACGCAACGAATATAATCTGTTTTCATTGTTTCTTTATTTACAAGCCTTCCTCTACTATCCCTGAAGCCAACTTCGTTCTCTAAGTTCTCATATCTTCGAAACGGAATACAGCATTGAAAACAGAGATTATCCCCTTTTGGACACGAGATTAGAAAACCATCGTACAGAATCTAGTATATGTGTATAGCCATCCGGTTATCCCGCGTGTTTCTACCTTCCCAAGTGTTTAACTGACGGTTTCTTGGATTTTTGATCGTGTTGTCAGAGAGAACAGTTACGGGACCACGAGGAAAGGGTTAGCAAATTAGAAGCTGAACTGGAGGAGCACAGGCGGCATCCACCCGAAAGAGGGGCGAAAGCTCTCGCTGTACAGAACTATAAGGAAAAGGATGCCTACTTGCATCACGAGGTAAATGGACTCCTGCAAATTTCCATAATAATAAAGTTGTGGTACTAGTAAATCATAATGTGATTTAAAGTATCACGCAAAGTATTTTCATCCGCTCGAAATGTATTACCTAACGTTAAAGAATGAAAAAAGTAAAACCATGAAGAATAAGAGAACACCATACTTTCACTGCGGTGCACCTTATATTTCTTCATTCTTGACCCGTTACGTAACTTCGTAACGTCGTAGAGCTGTAACGCGTACTGAAATTTTCTTGAAACTCTTCTCGCCTTCTGTGGTCGAAGAGAAAAAGGAAATGTCTGAACAATCAATAAAGTTTTATGTTTAAATACCAACTCAAGCAATTGATAAGTAAGTAAGTTGTTGCAGATCCTCGTTAATTTCATGTTTCGTGTGTTACAGTTGAAAAGGTACAAAACGTACGCGTACTTGCTACGATCGAGGCTGGCATTTACAGAGGTGGAGCCATCATTGGTAGAGAGCAGTATCGGTGAAGTGGACGAAGGAAGCGGGGCTCTGCTGAATTCCGAGGTGGCGTTAGTGCCACCACCTGTTCCCGATCGGCCAGCCATAAATAGGTACAGTTACAGGGCTGCCATTTACAACCGTAATCTGCTAAACGGTCAGGACTACGGCGGGGACATTGGTTGACGTGTGATGGGTGTCTTTTCAGCATGTGTGGTCTAGTCTGACCTGCATACGCAGGCAGAATCATCAGCTGAAATTTGGAAGAAATATTAACGAAAACCTAACGATGTATTCGACGCATCACTTGTTAAGTACTGTACTTTACCGTACCGTGTACTCACATTCTCTTTTAATATATTTAATCGTGATTTATCAGCGGCCATTAAAAAAACCGGTAGTGGTAGCATTCGTACAGCGCTATAGCACAGCAGCATTACTCGATCTTTCCATTGTATTCTCTTGTAACGGTTTTACTTTCTATAATTTCTTTATTTTCTTTTTTTAATTCGATTTATATTCATCGTCGCTCAAGTATCACATTTTTCGATAAGTTTTTATAACGATTCATCCCATGGAACATTATTCAAACCGAAAGTTGGTGTTCTAAGCGCATACCGGTTATAACAAACTGGTGATTGGGTCAGGGTTCTTACACCTAACGCAGTATAGTGTAAATGGTTCACTAATTATACCCAGTAGATTGTTAAAGCGTCTAAAAGAAAAAGACTTGACAAGGCCCGATTAAAAGACTCGTGCCTTGACCGAAGATAAGACCAGTTACGTATAGAACAATTCCGCTAGCCAAAGAAGAAGGTGTTCGAACGTTGACTAACATCGTAAGAGAATGGACATAACTTTAACCGTCATTCAATTAATCCCAATATAAGGCTACGTGTATAAAAACAGTAACAAAACGTATGTTCATTAAAAAAATAACTCACGACTACAGTTTTTAACGATCGAATCGCTCTTAAACGTATTGTAAAATCTGATTTTTTTCTGTATTAACAGAGTGTAATTTCAATAGTGAAATTCTTCATGCGACAGAGAAAACTTGTTAAATTCATTGCAACATAGTGTCTAATTAATGTTATGCGTAAATCATCATCTGTAACGATACTTTGTTGCTATACCAAACTGTGTCTGTCTTCGTACAAAAAATATCTTACTCGAGCATCCTTTCATGCTTTATGGTTTCTGCTTTATGTTCGCTGCTAATGTTTTAACAACATATACTCGACTAGTTCGTGTTGTATCGCAGGATTGGTGGTTTTAAGGTAACGTTCGCTTCTTTTGCTACTGTATGGAATTCATTGAGAGCGAATATGGGTGCATCTGGTTTTTTTATGTTTGAGTGCTACGGACTAATTCAAGCGTAACAGACTGTTATCGAAAACTCCACGATAACTGCAACTTCCAGACCTAATTCGTCAGTGTTGTCTCCAAGGGACTAGACTGTTCATAATGTGCACAGGTTGTTGGAACTTAACAGGGCGAGGAAATTGAATTTATTTTTGCTATAATGTACTCTAATTGGAAGATACCTATTATGATATGTTTATGGTTGTACAGTGGTTATACTGTTGGCAGTTTGAACATTTATAACAATATAACCGAACTTGTGTGCAACTACTACGTATATTGTACTAAGTGTAACAAAATTTAAACACATTATTGGAAAGCGAAATTAAAACAAATATATCTCAATTTCCTTGCAATCTGTAAAACCACCATATAATCTATACATATTATATCAAGACTGTGGGTGGCTAATAATTATGATTTATTTTGGACTTTATGTGTCATTAAAAAATTATTTTGAAGTGAAGATTTTTAAAAATATAGTTTATCAACGTCAGAGTGTAACGTAACAGACGGAGAGTGATATTTTACAAAACTTTACACGACGAATTCCAAAGTACCTTTATGTTTATTGTTGAGTATTTATTTAACAGTTATCACGATGCACGTGAAGGTTGAATTAGAATCGTTGAATAGATGTCTTGTTTCTATCCTTTACGATGAAATTAATTAAGTTCGGTGTCACGATGTTTTAATTTCGTTGTTGGCTTGCAACGAAGACGATTACGCTAATAGTTGAGCTATGTTACGGAAGTTAAGACTGGATAAAAAAAAAATATATATATATATATATATATTACGCGCATATTTAAATTCGTTTACGGCACTGTCAAATTGTGTATCAGCCACTTTACAAGTGTAGATGTACAATATATTTTTATATTTGGTATATTTGTCATTGTGGATCTATTTCCATTTTATCTGCGTCCTGGATTTATATGTGTTGCAATCTGTCGATGGTTCCAGGTGGCGAATCTTATCCTTTGCGAAGATGTTGAACCATCGAGTCGTTTGTACGTTTGTTCTGTGATCGCGTTGTCTTTGCGTTCTGTAAATTGGTTGATACGTCAACGAGTAAAAAAAGCGTCTCACTCGGTAGTTTAGTTGAACGAAAGGTTAGTTCGCAAAAGGAAGGAACAACTCTTTCGTTTCTTATAAAAATAAAAATTAAATATCGCAGATAGGACTACGTAGGCCTCACCTTACTCTAATCACTGTTCTGACATTACGTTTAGATGCATAACGGTAGCATTTATCGATTACTCTAGCCTTTTTAAAAACGACTATAAAGTATCGTATATATATATACATGTATGTATATACTGTGTACATATATACAAATATATGTATATATATATACGTATAATTATTCTTGCATAAAAGTATTACGTAATAAGTCAAATGCTTTATCAAACGTTACGACAAATTTTTGAAGGAAGTGTGACGATTATATTCAGAACTTTAAACAAAGAGAGAGTTCGATGTTTTTATTCCTGTCAGAATAAAAACTTTCATACCGTTTTTACTTAATAAAATATAATTCTTTGATACTATTTAAGTTGTGTTTGATATACGAGGGATATTGAAGTATTTGTTTCGAAGCGGTTAGCCGAGGGTTTCTTATTCATTAATTTTCTAGATCATTTTTTTTTAACGATTTAAAAATTGAATGAAAGGCTTAATACACTGAAATAGAAGAGCGTTTGTAAGTATTACATAATTATTTTATGCCAAAATGTTCTAAATCTAATAAAACGACACAGTGTACTCTTGGGAATCCAATAATCAGGAACCTGCTAATTTCTTTCCTTTCGGTTTTAAGAGTCAATCAAAACCGACGATTTTTCAGTGGCTAATAGAATGAAGTTTATCTAGCGGTTATAGTACAACTTTTTTGTATTATAAATTTGCGAGTATCTTCTTAGAGCAGACGTTAAACGAATCTGTTTGTTGACTAGTCGAATTAGCGTTATTAGACATGGTTCCTGTAAATCATGTTGCTGCTCAGTATCTAAGAGTATATATATATATTAATTTAAAACGTGTACTGGTAAATATATTTCATTACTTTTGTATTTCGATTGTAGCTAGTTGTGCTTCGATTCTCCGTTTACTATTTTTATTAATGCCATCCTTTTGTATCGTTCTCGAGAAGTCGTTCGCTACATCTAATCATAGTGTACACTAGACCCCCTGTACATAAAACTGTATTATATGTGGATAATATAAACAATTATTATAAACTATATAATGCTAATGGCAATAAAGATAAACAGTCTCCAGATTACATAGATTCACAAGTTTCATATGCGAATCCCAAAGTTTCAGATACCAGTAGGTACTCTTCTAACGTATATGCACTTGCATTTGGTTTGATGGAAGTTGCATGCAACACGTTCATACATATCGTTAGACGTTTAGCGTAATATGCACGAATGCCTACAGTTCTGTATACTCTATGCACATTAATTTGATGATTCTATGTACACTATTTATTATTTTATCACTTACTTTTTAGCAGTTTAAGTAAAATTCATGGTAATTATAATTACGTTAATAATCACAAACAATAGAAATAAACCTCTATTTTTCATTTGGTATGATTGCTTGCAGGTTCCTTTGCAATTTTACGACTAACACAAACTATTTAGAATCGCATGAAACACGAATATCGCGCAACAAAATTACTTTTTTTAATTATTATTTCTACTTCAGTGTCTAATTTCTATTGCCAGATTTTCAGCTGCGGACAATGTTGTACAAATAAGCATGGTACTACACTGTCACACGTTAATACAATTGCAATTACGTATAACCAGAACTTGGTGTAATTATGAAATATCATTTAACAAAAATTTGAAGTTCAATCAAAACTTGGTGGTATATTTTATTATGTAGATTATACCTTTTCAAGCTCTTTGTGAACATAAATTGCCCAGACAACGTTTTAATTTAAAAATATATTTCTGTTAAACATTAATACATTTTTCTAAAAGTACTGTTTACAAAGAGTGGAGATGTATAAGCTATTGTAAAGACAAATTGATCAACTCCGAACTGAATTGTCTCCTACAACAATGCTTTTAAATTCAGAAGCGAAATGTGAACATATTGAAGCTTCTCTTGCATTATGAACCGTTATTAAATAATTATATAATGATTGTATTAATTTATTGCATGCAACAGGATTGAGGCAGTGTCATCGTGAACGAAGTCGGCAGATCATCGTCGAAACTGTTTCAACGTGCATCGAAGTTACAATGCACAAGTTTCATGGGTGAAAATTTGTTGGAAGATTTTCATTTCTTAGGACATTTTATTCTTATATACATATGTCACATCGATAAACATCCGTTTTTCTTTGTTGAAAAAGTGAAAACGATACGTCACGTTAAAAGTATTGTCAATTGAAAATTCGTCATGATTATTTCTTCGAATTAACCCCAAAAGAGATTTCGAATTTAAGGTATTTTTCTAGTGTTTTCTTTAGATGAATCATTTAATGCTCGTCAAGTTGTCTAACGAAATAAAATTACCATGAGATTATCGTTAAATAATATTATTACAACTTAATTTTCAAAGTGAGACATGCTTCGAGATGTAAGTTACAAAGTGATACGTAATGTTCTCGGTTGAAGACGATCTAACGAAGAAACGATATTTTCCAGTTGGTCTTTTTGCGAAAAGAGCAGCTCGAAAATTTGTTCGAAGAAATCTACTAAGCTACTCGAAGGTTTAATATTACATTAAGGAATTATTGTAAGATAATTTCACACAAATATGATGCTACAACTATGAAATTCAGTAAACCTGTGAAGCTGAGGACGAAACCGCATGAATTGCAGAAAGTGTAATTATCTAAAATGCAAAAGTATTTGTTGACATGTTAGTTAAAAATACTCGATAAGTCCTCGCTATAGATTGATTGTGTTAGAGATAATATAAAGTATACGATCGAGATCAATGTGTATGTTTAGAGCAGCAGTGTCGATCACGTATAAGTTTTGTGAAGCTGTTTTTATAGTGAAGATTTACAAACGCGTTAATTATTGTCCGAATCATCATAGTACACAGGTGTGTGCGTGTGTGTGTTCTCCTTTTTTTTTAAGCGTTGTACCTTGTTTTCGTACTTATTTACGCTTAAGGTGATAATTAATTTCTTAATTGTACATAAGTTATTGTAACGTTAGCTCGCCTTTACAATTATATTCTGCATAAATGCCAAAGAATTGCATTTAAAATACATTTTCATTGCAATGTATTTTTTACTCGCATTTACGTTCGTATATTCATCATTATTACATTATTTGCTTTTTTGATACTTTGTAATGTATTGCTCTCTCTGTCTCTCTCGGTTCATCTCAATTTGTATAATTGAATTTGTCGAAGACTTAGTAGAATTTATTCTGTATAAACACAAACTAATCACGACGCGTCCTTATAGTTGATGAAACAATTGTACATATTGTTTTAAGTTTTTGAATTCCTTATACTAACCGAAAACTCAAAGACCGTCTATGTACTTTCCTGTACATGCGATATATTCCTTTGTAAATATTACTTTACAACTATGAAAATAAAATTGTGAACATGAATTACTTTCATTTTTCTATATCCACGCTGTTAGAACATAAGTTATTAATTCACAGACCACTGTGAAAGTCTCAAATTTTACTCAAAATCCTGCTAAGGAATATAAATATAAATATATTTTTGTTTATAATATTATTATAGTTCAGTAGGTATAATAGGGGATTTTAGTACTAGTGGCGCCATCGGTGGGAAAACGCCCAAGTTTGAAGTAGAGTTAGTTTCTATTCCTTACGCTAGATGGGGGTAGCGATATTAGTGGCGTCATCTAGCTTTAAAAGAAAGAACTATTTCTCGACAAACTTGGGCGTTTTCCCACCGATGAACTCACCTATACCAATAAAAAAATTTAATAGACTGTAATATAATACCAAAAGATATTTACACAAATGAAAGGTAGATCAGTAGATATTGTACGGATTTATTATCATATAATGAAATAGTTATAATTGTATATAATTCTAAATTAGATACTGTTACTTTACATAATTCATCCGGTGATTCAAAATAACATGGATCTCTACTTATGTACAGATACAGTGCAATGTATATGCAATAATAATTAATAAACGATTTATATTACAATATTGGTCAACTAAACGTTGACTCTACTCAACATACAAAGATACAAACTTCCTGTATACAATACACACGACCCATAAAATTTGTTTCGCAATTATTCCGCGTCGTGTCCTCAAGAGTGTCCGTAATATACAAGCGATCAATGTTCTATGTTTTGTAAAGTAAAACTAATATTGTACAACTTTGGAGGAATGTTGTGATGGCATAGCACCAACTTCACTATGAATCAATTAGTCAAACTGCAATGGCACTTTACAAATTAAATAATGTGTCTATCATATGTATCATATATATATATATAATGTATATAATATACATATATGTATCATATATATGCATATATATATATTTATATGTATTTATATATTTTTTTTCTTCATGTAAAACCTACCCAATAACGTAGTAACAATAACAACGGTGGATAGAGCTCTTTAGTTCATCCACTTGCGGCAGTTAGGCGCGCCACATGCGCATGCTATCTTGTGCTGGTCATCTTCAATGTCGAATTTGTAATCGTATGCCAGCTAAAAGAAGTTCACACGTCGTATAAGTCTCGTAAAAATGCGGAATTGCAAAAAGAAAAAACAATAAAATACGTATTAAGAATGAATAAAAACCAATTAAAAGACAACATACCTCCTCGCCACGTGAGATTCTTCGCTTTGCAAAGATTATAATTCTAAGATCACGTTCTACCTCAACGATTTCAGCGACGCAATTTGGGTTACATGAGTGATTGATGTATCTCGCAAGGCCTCCACACAATGTTGCATCGACAACTCTTTCTTCATCTAGGCGGAACATATAAATACCGCGATTCTGTAACAGATGTTTCTAATGTTGCTTTCTGCCACTTGACAACAGTCAACCTAACAACGAACAACAATACTCGAAGGGGCCGTGGTGCACAGTGAGAATAAATTCCAAAAAGCTGATCATAACTATTTCTTTGTTTTAAGACGAGGTTATAGATTTGATCATCTTTCTGGGATATAAAATCACAGCATCGCGTAGCGGTAAAAAGACGTACCCTTGCTTCGTACTGCTTCTCCCTGGTTTCAGCCAGCTCGGTGCGAATAATCTCCCCGATGTACTCGATGACCATGGTGTGCTTCTCTAAATCGCGCGCAGCGTACAGTCCTAAGCCTTGGATCTTGGAGCGCGCCAGGTACACGTTGTTCCGCCACTCTTGCTTCATTTTCTTGTACTGCGAGCTCTTGGAATGAACGAACTGCTTCGAATAAGGGCACGCCACCTCGCCAGCGACTGTCGCGGTTGGTACAAACGTCGCCCTGGCGGAGGAGCCTGTGCGCTGTGTGTGCGGCCTCTTCCACGGGAGTTGGTTACGTAGCCGCGCCTCGGTTCGCGCGCTGCCCGTGGGATTGATCGCCAATGGCAATTCCAACAGGGGATTCCGACCGTATTTGAATCTGTAATCGGTGAGAGTTTCGATGCCTGGAAGACTTTCGAGAACGCGAACCACTGCTGGCTCGGTTAGCCCGAACAGGTCCTCGCCAGAGACATAACGAGGGAACAGCTGAACGCTGTGCGTCGTTCTTCGCAGTTCAGAAAGAGGTTCGAGGATTCTGCTCCAAACGGCACGCGGCGTGGCGTCCCGTAACTCGACGTCCTCTTGGAGAGGCTCCTGAACCAATACTCTGAACTCTGGTCGACCGGACACGTCGTGAATGGAACAGACGTATCGACAGCGTTTGTTCGGCCTCCTCATGCTCCAGTAGAACCTGACGATCTTGTATCCAACCGGGTAGATGTAGTTCGGTGTGTGAAAGTTGGCGAGCTGGTGCGGGAGCAGCTGTCCCACGCTTAAAAATATCAGGCTCCCAACCCGCAATAAGTGATTATGTTCCGAATGATGCATCACAGCTGCGACTTGTCGGTTTTCGTCTCGATTGACGTACACCCTTCTGTACACGGATAGCGTCGTCAGCTCGTTATCTTTCTCGTTCTTTTGCACGTGTTGAGAGCAGTAGGTACTCTGAAAATATCATTAACGATCAATCAAGTTTCTACTCGTTTTGAAGATCGAGATTTAAGGTGTTGACTTTACCTTATTCTTATAAAAAACACAGCCATCTTTGACAGCGCAGCCAAGGTGGTACACGTTGGTGCAGCGCATTTTAAAACATTTTACTGTAGCTCCCGGCTTTTCGCAAACAATACAATTTAATACAAGACTATGTTGCAAAGCAGTATCGAGATTCATCAAGGCACCATTTACAGTTTCGTACACATCTTCGGACCATAGTGCGCAATTTAAATGCACCCATTTATCGACGTCAAAATTAAGTAGTCTAGCGGGACCATCGGCTGTACCATCACCTTGACTGTGACAAAACATGCATCGTCGACTGTCTTCCGCTTTGGCAGGCACTACTGTCACCCCCATACGGAAAAGCATCTGCATAAAAAAAGAAATTTTTAAGAAGTCGTGAATATTTTACTTACTACATTTAAAATTAATTTTGTCCGTACCTCCGTGATTTCTTTGTCGGTTGGTTTCTTATACTTTGTATGAGGTTGCATCGAGCCAATGGACCAAGGTTTGTACCGCAAGCCTCTCCATACTTTCGCAGGTGGTTGGGGTTCGGTCGATTCGCTCGAGGATTCCTCAATAGCCGAATGTTTCTTCGGTCTCTTGTCCTCCATTATTTCCTCCTTCATCTCCAGGACATCCTGATCCTCTTTCTCAGTTTTTATTTTAATTTCACACTCCTTTTCCGGCTGGTCAATGTCCATACTTTCAACCGGTTCAACCGACTGTTTGATCACGAATTTTTTCCCCTTTTTGAAATCGTCGTCCAATATCTTACTGTCTATTTTATGACATAGGTGGTCTACTATGGTTGCAGCCTAAAGTTGGAGAATAAGAATTAATTGAACATACAATTAGCTTGGTAATCTTCGATTGGCACTGGCACAGCATTATTTTTTTCTGCTGTTAAATTATAATAAAAGTAATGTGGTCACCTTATATTGCGTGTTCGATGGCGTTCTGTGCATGAGGGCAAATTGCATGTAACAGGCTGCCGAACAGAAACATAATTCATCACCAGGCTCTGCTTCCTCCTTACTTAAAAATGGTAAGTCTGATACTTTCTTCCTTATTAAACTATTCAATATCACAACCTCGCAATGACGACAGAATTTGGCAGCGCCATTCAAAATACTTTGTATATCAATTGGAGCTGCAAAATTAATAAAAAGTCACAACAGCTATTCTAAAAATGTATAATTTTATAAGTGACTGGTATGCACGTACCTCCCTCTTTACCATCTTTTCCCTTGGTTCTATAAAGACCTAATTTCTGACTAGGGGGAGTAGTGGTACGTTCTACTATCTGGTAACCAGTGGGAGGAGCTATATTCAAAATATTTGCCAAGTCTTTAAGTACTCCCATTATGTCGTCTGCAGCCTGACTGTTCAAGGTCAATGTAACTGTCACATTGCCATCTCTTAGAGGTATTGGAGGTGATTTTCCGAGTCTATATACAATTAAACAGCATTAAGAAAATAATGATATAAGTTGTTGGGTAAAAAATGGCTAACTAGCTTAGGTACTTTGACGTACTTTGGTATTCCAAGGTTTTCTTTGTCTTGTTTAGCCGTATCTTTGACATAAGCTGGTTTGAGTCTGATAGGAATCGGCGAGATTAATGGTATCACAGGTGACACGCGTTTCAACCAATCAGACTCCTCGTCCGATTCTTCCTCAATCAATCTCAAACCAGGGAATCGGTGTATGAACTCTGGGATGACGCATTCAGGTGAGGATGAGCTGACTATCGTGTCAGGAGAGTCGACGTCACGGTTCGCCAGCAAAGAATTCTCCTTCTTTTCATCGGCTGCAAGTTCAATGTTTATGTCAATAATCTTCTATTAATCCGTTGATAAAAGATATAGAAAGAGTTAGGATGCTTACAATCATCTAATTTAAGGGGTGGAAATTCTTGATCGTAAAACCCTCTCTGAGTGGAAGCAGGCTGTTGAGGCGGTAAGGGTTCCAATTCGCCAAATGGCTGCGTGTTATAGTGATCAGAGACACCTGGCAACGTAGCGGTTCCGTATGAACCCACCAAATCTCCTGTCCTGGTGTTGTAATCCTTCTGACTTCCAATTTTCATCAAGTCACCCGAGCCAAATATAGGACACACGCCGTAATTCTTGCCTAAAAGGGGTTCTAATACTGCCATTGGCTGAAGTTGTCGCAATTGGGTCATTAAATTGTCGATGA